TATATAAGTTTCCCCCATTTTGAGAACAGTAATTTAGAGAAACTTCTAAATCCTAAACCCAAGTATGTTCAAGGCATGTTGCTTTGGGTATTGCTGTCAGAGCTTGAAAGGTCAGGATACAAAAGCTTTGATGGCAAGATTGGGTCTCAAAATTGTCTACGTAGCTGCCAAGAGCATCAGGCCAAATTCTCATCGCTGTTGCCCGCTAAACCAGTAGATAGGAAGCCCCCAACACTAAGACGCACTTGCAAAATGCACCGCTAAAACAGATGCTTTTCCGAAGTCCAAGCGAGAATCAAGCAAACTACGGCCAGAAGGTGGAAAGCACAAAAGGAAGTGCAAGACCAATTACAGAAGAACAGCATAAGGACAACAGACAAGAGTACAGGCTCTGAACGCCATTTTTCTGGAGTGACAGGTGTCTACAGTTCCATCCTGCACATTTTTATGCCCTGAACGCTAGAACCCCTGAACCCCAAACTTTTTTTGCATGTAACCTGCCAGCACTGCCAAGTACGGATTTCCAGTCTGCAATTCTGCCTTCCCTCTTCTAGATGGCAAGCACTCTAATATAGGGGCCTGAATAGTTACCAATGTTATGGTTCCATATTCCTTGTATAGTTATGGTCTATGGTACCTCAAATGGACCCCTAAACCCTAAACTGGTAATTATTTAGGCCCCTGTAGTAGACAACACGAAACTTGCGGCTGGTCATTGGACACCTTTGCTGGTTCGTACTGCGTGTAACACACTCAGGGAGTTGTCTTTCGTACCCTCAAGGTTTGTACTCCGATTGTTTTTCTTACCAAAGTAAGTATTGTTATTATTAGTACTATTACTATTACTATTATTTTCACTATGTCTGTTATTATTACCCTTGGGTGTGGATCGCCCAAGCCTGGAGCATACCCCTCAATCAGGATATTTGGGCCCCCAAAAAAGGGTACAAACTTGTAGTCCCCCTTAAGTAGCTAGAATAGGCCTTTGAGTATACTATACTAAGATCCTCACATACCCCATATTCTATCTACTGCAGGGGGACTCTAAGTGAAACTGCTTGAGCCACTCTCCATCTGCCAAATCGCTTACTACCCAGCAGCCAATACAGCTGCTAGTCCGAGATTGCCGCAATTTTATTTGAGTTGTTCTCAAAAATATGGGCCCTTTTGGTAATAGAAATATTACGGCGCCTAGTATCCAAGGGTACCAAAAAGGGACCCTAATGTTGGGAACTGTTCATTTGTTATCGCCCAGCGGCTTAAGAAAGGACTTGAGCAGTACGACCGCTGTTTGTGAGAACAGAACCCGTCAACGCTCCTTTCTGCTTGGACTAGTTCAAACCCTGAGGGCCAAACCCCGAAACGAGGACCAACAAAATCGCGGCCTGCATCTACTGTATTTGAAGGCTTCCTGCGCTAGTTTGAAGCTGTTATTAGTGCTAATACCACCACAACTACTAACAAAGCAAGAAATGCGGCGACGACGCTACCTCCTCGATTACTACTGCTACAAGATCCGCGTCAACAACTATTGCGACTACCACTGCATTTGACCTTGTGCTCCCCCCAGTACTGATGATGGTATTTCGCAGGGTTGCCTATAATAAGCCCTACAAAGAAAAAAGATCCTCAGGCACTCAAAATGTTGAGAACTTCTCCACCCTCAACTCTCAAAGCAAGACCCAGAATTCTGAGAAGCCGCACATCCTTTCTAGCAGGAGGCTGGGCTGTCGGATAGGCTCCCAGTCTGCACGGAGGTTGTCTGCAGTTCCACTTAGGCTTGAGGGTTCGAGGTTTTGGTGGTGATTGTTAGTGACGCCTTTATCTTTATATTGAAGGCATCCGGGGAACAGCCAGAACAGGGGTTGCACCGCAAACCCTAAAACCGGCGCCCTGAAACCATCAAAACCTAAACCCCAAACCTTAGATAGCCTTCAAAACCTCAACCCTAGCTCGGCCCAGCTGGCAATTTCTCAGCGCAGAGCCGAGGATTCAGTTCCACTGCGCAGATGCACTGACCGCTCCGGAGCTCAAAGAAGCTGCCTCTTGGCTGGCTCAAAGAAAGAAACAAGGAGTTTAGGATTTGAAACAAGGAGTTCAGGGTTTAGGGTTTAGGCATTGTGTAGGGTCTTTATTGTTTCGGGTTTGGGGTGTAAGGTTCCGTTGTTAGGGGCTTCGGGCTTTTGAGGCAGTTTTGCTTGGTGTTGCGCAACAGAGGGCCCAGGAGGATGCTGAACTAACCCTAGAAGCCCAGTTACCTATATATTGGGTTCCTGTCCTTTAGTCCCTATATACATTTATACTATCTATAACCCAAGGACCTACTATATGGGTACCTGGGCTTCTAGGGTAAGGCTTGCGGTTTAGGATCCTCTCGGCCATCCTTCTGCGTAGCATCATCATGACTGTTGCTACTGAGCATGTGTGTGGTCACCATATCTCAGAACCATGTCTGTTAGGAGGACCCCCCACCCTGTGATAGTGGTATAATAGGAATACAAGAGGACCCTAATATAATCCCTATTATCCCGGGGGTCCACCTAACGTGTCTGCTACTTTTGTGCTTGTGGCAGCTGCCACCACCCTGATCAGGCCTCAACTCTATCAGATGTATTGGTTTCCTCTCGCATGGTTGGTTTCATCAACATACTCTTGGAATGGCTCCACCCCTATCTTCGAGCATTCTAACAAACTGAGCACTTCATTCTGACAAAGTGAGCACCTCAAATTCTAGCAGATGTTTCGAAGAATGTGCTACGTTGCGCAAGGGCCTCAGAAGATTTGAAAGGACCGCCAAAGTCAGAAGAGTTTCTAGAGGATGAGGCCGGGTTCTTACTCCATCCGATTAGCAGAACTTAGTAACTTGTTTCGTTGTTCGGAAATGGATATTCAATGGTTCCCCTGTAGTACCAACACTGTAAAACGTTGGCCATGCTTCTTCAATTCATAGACGAACTCCCTTGATAGAAGAGTTCCCAGTTAGTTCCACCTGGAAAATAATACAAGACCTCCAACTCAATTTCTCATTGCCGTTCGTGGGCCTGCGAGACATGAAGCCGTTCAAACCCTTGAAGTCAAGAAACTGAGGCGTATAGTCCCCCTTAAGTAGATAGAACACGGCTTTGGGTATACTATAATAATAAGATCCCCATATACCCCATATTCTATCTACTTAAGGGGGACCATAATCTGTTCTGGTTAGACAAGAAACTCTGAGGTTCCCAAAACACTGCACCCGCTCACTGTTGGATTCCCATTTGCTCAAAAAGCCCTTGTAACTGCCCACCTGCGGAAACTTCCGCGCGTGCTGTAGACTCGTTCTGGGGAAGGCCTTTGTCTCCGAATTCAGGTATTGGGTGGAGGTCCTGCGAGAGTTCAGGACCTCAGTTGGAATTCTGGGCAAGCATGTAAGTCCTCGCAAGACCTCAGGCTGATGCAAGCCCAGGGCAGCAGCGCCTGTAGCTTCTCAAGCCCACAAGCCCAATCCTAAACTCCTCAGTGCTTGCAAGCTCAGATCGCCAAGATTAGCACAAGCAAGGCACTGGTTTGGGTCAACGATGACTGCTTCCCGCGTCAAAGCTGCAAATGCGTACATGGCAGTGCAGAGGCCTTGCAGTTGTCATAACTTGGGCGGAGCCCTGCTTCTTGTAATCCGGTAGTTTCAATGGTGTGTCGGGTTCCAGAGCAGCAGCAGGCATGCTCAAGAGACCAAGTTCCAGCGGTACCTGCATGTACCTGCCATAGGCCGGACCTAGCTTTTCCTCCAGTCCATCACCTGGGCGCTTGAAAAAACACTCCCTGAACACGAGTCAAAATTTGACGTTTAGCACCAGTGGGCAGAGAAACAACAGGTGCTCGAATCATGAAATCCAACAGCGGTTGTCGGCAAGCGGCTCCTCAATTGTGGCGGTTGCAACCCTACCCAGGCGCGACTTCTCGCGAGCGCTCACAAAGCGCATGGCTGAAACACTTCCTTCGGGATCCGTCTTCCTGTCCTACAAGGCCGATTCGTGGCGGAGAGTTAAGGGATCAAGGTTCCTTGCTCTTTTGTGTGTTTCCAAAACTATGGGCCAATTTTGGTGTAATGTGATCTATAACCACAAGGGTCGTTTAATTTTGAGAGCAACCCCATGTGAGCTATTGTCTAGACTCCTTAAAGGGGTTATAGGGGATTTTCTAGGGGAGCATATGGGGCTTACTGAGGGGGATACTAGGAGTTTAGACGATAGCTCTTGTTATCTGTCCAATTCCGGGGTCCATGAATCAGACCCCAAATTACATTAAAGGTAAGCCCAATAAGGGACCTTAAAGTTTGAGAAGACCCTTGAAAGCCTAAACCCTGAAACCATAAAAGAACAAAAAAGCAAACTAGACCCTAAAAACCCTGAAAACCCTAAACCCTAAACCCAACACCCTTAAAGAGCAACAATAAAAGCCCTAGAAACCCTAAGCCCTTGTAATTCTTGGGCCATGACGACACCAGATGCAGGCTTAGCATCGAGGATTTAAGGTTTAGAGTTTGGGGTTCAGGGTTTTAGGGTTTAGGTTTTTATTCAGAATCAGGATAAGTAGGGCCCTTTAAGGGGGCTCATAGGGGGGGACATGCAGATTTACATTTATATCTATATCTATATCTATACCTGCATCTCTATATATATATATACAGAGGTGCGAGGCTGAAGGCTTGGAAAGAGGCAAAAGCTGTGACAGGGTTTAGGTTTATGGACTTGGGGTTTAGTGGTCGTGGCTTGATGGTTTGGAGCTTGGGAGTTTAGCAGTTTGTGGTGTCATGTTGTTGCCCTCCTACGTGATGATTCATGTTAATGGTGTATTGGTAGTGCATGGAAGGTTAGCAGCCATTCATACTCACCTTGATAGATCGCATTGATTGCTGCAACACAAGCTCAAAGGTTGATGCCTCTGAATTTGTCAAATTGAGACTGTTGAAGGGCGGTGGCCTCTGACAGGACCACTGTCATTTTGTGTGGGTATACAGGGGGACCCGCGTTTTTGAAATCTCCCGCACAAGTGGTTCACACTCCCTGATCTTTTCCGATCTTGTATGAGGGGGAGTCTTGTGTTTGAACCCCACCATATTGAAATCTGTGCCCACGCCTCAGGCAGGCGAACTGGAGGCCACAGCTTGAAGCTAAGCGCTTTAGAAGGGTTCAGAGTTAAGGGTCTAGGGTTGAGGGTTTAGGGGTCTAGGGTTTGGGGTTTAGGTTAAGGGTTTAGGGTCCAGGGGTTCGGGTTCACGGCTTAGGGTCCCATTGCGTTGAACACTCCCCCCACGCCCTGATATTGACTACTCTCAAACGGGCATGTTCATAATGAAGGGGAAAGGGACAGGCCGCGCTTACTCTAAACTCTGTGCCCCACAGGTGGTTTACATAATTTAGGGTTTTAGGGTTTCAGGGTTTAGGGTTTACTGGAAAGAAAATGAAAGCTGCCCAATAATCGTAGGTATGCTACAGGGGATAATGGAAAATGGGTTGGAAGCTATTCTAGTGTTCTGGTAGTAGAACGAGACTACCGGTTTGCGACTTTGAAATTATTTTGTGACAAATGTTTGGAAACTCCTTTTCTCAGTCATAGATTCTGGGAAAGGCTTGGGTAGGTCCTAGAAGGATTTAGAGCAGGTTTGGGATAGCATGGAAGTGCAGGGCTCAGGAATGCAATTCGGCCTCAGGAGGCAGGCATCGTGACCGTCCCCATACATCCTACATAACATTCCCTTATGAAATACGCCGAACCCTATTCTACTTATTTACGCTTCTGTATTGTGCGCATGCCTTTTGACTTGGTCTCCAAATCCAACTTGTCAAGGACGCACGGGCGTAGAGCCGCGCAAATGCAATGCCGCTTTGCGAATCCCCTCCCCTGCTGTTAGCCCTCCCCACCCCCCTTATGTTAAATATGCCCAAAATATTTCTAACGTACCACAATCGGGTGTATTCAATATTGGGGGGAGGGTGGGGAGGTTTGATATTAGGGGGAGGGGGTTAGAAAATCTTGTCCATCTCATCCCCATATGAAATGCTACACCTCTCTTTGCTTGGATGTTCACACTAAAGTCCTGCACTGTGAGCCTATATAACCCCGATATTTACCCTGTATACCTCATATAACCCCGCTATAAAGCTCTAAACTCTAAACTGATATGAATCCTACAGAAACCCTATATAGCCCCAATATAAACTCATACAACCCCTAAATAAACCTCATATGACCCTTACAGCGCTTGAAAAAGAGTCATATTACCCTAAACCCTAAACCCTAAACCCTAACCCTATGCAGCCAGGAGCCGCATTGGCACTTGGGCTCCACTTTGACAGTGCCTTGGCGCCAGGGTTTCAGGGTAGGGTTCAGGGTTTAGGGTTTAGGGTAAAGGGTAAAGGGTTTAGGGCTTAGGGTTTGGGATCTACAGTTACGGTTAAGAACTGAGACGAAAATCAGTCAGATCCCTGTGGTAGTTTCGCAAAAAACTGGGCCGGGGGGTGAGGGGGGGGGGTGGCAAAACGAACACAATTCAGGAAATATGGGCGAGTTTAGGCTTCAGGGGCTTCAGGGAGAACCTAAGGTGCATGCTCGAGAGGAAAGACCAAGACTGTCCGATCATCGGGCCATGAGAGGACCCTGAGAAGCTGTCTAGCAGGCTTTAGGGTTTAGAGTTCTAGCATATCACCCATTGCACTCATGGTATTTCTTGTCTGCTACTATGCTGTCGAGGAAGACATAGAATCGATTTCTGCAAGGGCTCCTTGCGCGGTAGCAAACTTCAGCACTGCCGGCAAGGCGCAAAAACAGTCCCACCGCAAAAACAGTCTCACGATTCGCGCCTCAAACATCAGATGAGCACATGTGCAACAAGCAGGCTCCCCCACGCTGTAAGCCGATCTAGCAGCTGCGGCTTCCTTTCAAATTATCTGAAAAACCGCAAAAACAGTCTCACGATTCGCGCTTCAAACATCAGATGAGCACATGTGCAACAAGCAGGCTCCCCCACGCTGTCAGCCGATCTAGCAGCTGCGGCTTCCTTTCAAATGAACTGAAAACTGCGCATGTTGAGTCAGAGCTTTATCTTGTGACAATGGTATTCATGCTGGGGTGGCTTTGGCATCTGATAATGACACATTTGAGACAGCGAGCCCCCCCTCCCTCACAGGCCACCAGGCCTTTTAGGAACTCCTAGTTGGAGGTTCAGGGCAATTATGACCCTGGGGCTAGGGTTTAGGGTTTAGGGTATTGGTACTTATTACCCATTTAGATCCATATTCGGGGACTTATTAATGGAATACAAGTGCACTTATAAATGGGCTACAAGCGTAATAGTGATTATCCCAATGTTCATTTCATGTTCCATTTGACTTTCAATTTGGTTCTCCATTGTGTCATAGCAATAACTGTAATTACCCTGAACCTGCAAGTACCAGGTAGAAGTCTCATGGAATGCCAATCAGTTCCTGCACATCTTCCGCAGGCAAGACAGCAGCGTTTGCAGCAGAGGTTTGTGATTTGAATGTGAAGTAGGATTTCCTGTGGCTTCGGTGAGTCCACATAGCTCCTCGGGAAGTTGCTGAGTGTAGATATGTATCCTTCCTGAGGTGTGCAGTTGAGGTCCAACATATGAACCTTGCTGTGATCTGGGGGGCACGCTTGACACTGCAGATGTGACCACCGAAAGATCCCTAAACCTTAAGCCCCTAAACCCTAAACCCTAAACGCCAACCAAAAGAATCTAGACTGCCAAAACTCATGCCGAAAAGCTTTGGCTCCAAACCTGGAGATCAACTTGACTAGGAACAGTTCTACTCTTGTTTGGCACCGAACGGTTTTGGGGCACCACATAGAGACTGAAAGAAGTGTACCTTGTAGCAACTCTGAACAATACAATAGGGGAAGTGAGACAGAACATAACTTTAGCTATATTCTAATCATCCATACTATGGTTAGATGCGGAACCCTTATTGGACAGAAGCACCTGTAATCCTTGAACCCCAAACCCGGCAAGACCTCATCAGGACAGCCCTTTTCATCTTCTGCGGTAGCTACTTGAGAATGCATCGTACAATCCATACAGCATTACATGCCCAACACGACTGCAGCACTGATCCGACAACTGGCAAGACCTCTAAGTGCAAACACAGAATAACCACCGAGGCCAATATTGTCAAACCCCCAAAATCTCACACCCCTCAAACCTGAAACGCTATTCAGCCGCTACACCCCGAGGCGTGAGATTTCAACTTATATGCCCAATTTGTTCATGCCTTGTTATGGGACCTAATCTTTCAAAAACCCATGTGCCACAGCAACAGGAAATCAGCGGATGAGGCGCAGGCTTGCGCAGCTAAGCGTGAGACGACATAGTGTCAATGCCTGGGCTGAGGGGTCATACAAGCAATTAAGGGTGAGGGTTTGGGATTTGGGGTTTGGAAGTCAGGGCTTAGGACGTAGGATTTAGAATTTATTCAGAGTTTGCATTGAGGGTTTAGGATTTAATGGTTTAGGGGTCTAGGATTCTGGGCTTAAGATTGGGCTTAGGGTTGAAGAATCAGGGTTAGGGTGAGTGCCTACATGGGTACAAGAGAAGACTGGAAAGGAAGTAGTGTGGCTCCCAGGTGACTTGAAGATTCGCCTCTTCATATCTTGTTCAACTTGGATTAATCATATTTACTATATATACCCCTTATGATGGGGGTTATATTGGGATAATGGAAAATAAAATGGATACTAAGTATGTTTCCTCAGTCCTAGAAGCCAGATCTATGGTCTACTGGATCGGATGCCCTCCGGGCATGTTTTTTTGTTTCTGGGGTCATGTGCTATGATATGCACAATGGTTACGTGATGACGAAGCTCAAAGCCTGCCCTTGACCAAGCGAAGCCCTTCTGTCGATGTGCAGAATTTTGGTCTTAGGTCTGTGCATCAACCCTGGGCAATCAGTCTGCGATTGATAGTTAGACATCAAATACTGTAGACAGGTATTTTAATCCGCAAGTGTACTTAGTGTATATAGACGAACATATGCTTCGTATACTCCGGTTTGTGCTGGATTCGTGGCGAAGTGGTTGGCTCAGTGGAAGTTTTTGATGCATTCACGCTTCTTGCGGCGGCAAGACAAGCACGATGGTGCACATTCCTGTTTGCAAGCTGCGCCGCCACCACGCATGGATAAGCAGTAAAGGCTTGATACTTTCACATCGTGTGGTTGATACATGGGACAGATATTGTAGATAGGTAGTGTATTGTTCTTGTGTCCATGCTTTACGTAGTGAGAATATGTATATATACACATATACACGCACACATGGCATATGCGTTGCGTCATTGGTTCTTGTTGAGATTAGCGCGGGGTGGATGCCGCATTGTAATTGTTTGATGCACGCACGATTATTGTGGACAAGCACAAGTCTCATCCTGTGCTCCGCTTGGGCGGGTGCACTTTTTTGTCTGCAAGCTGTCCTGCCAAATTTGCGCGGGCAACCAGCACCTGCTTCATGCTTTGACACTGTCAGAGTGATACATGGGACAGGTTCTGTAGACAGCTAGACAGTACATAGTAATTGTATGTTCTATATGTACACATACACTACATTTGCGTTGAGCCTTGATTGGCTTGTGCTGAGTTTAACATGGGGTGGGTGGCCCAGTGCAATCGTGTCATGCACGGTCGGCTATCGTGGAGGAAAGACAAGCACTAGTGTCATGCTGTGATCCGTGCGGGAGGATGCACATGTTTGTCTTAAAGACTGTGCCCCCATGCGGCGCGGGCAACCACCACTTGCTTGATTCTTGCAGAACGACGTCAGATTAATTCGTGAGACAATCGCGAAGGCTTCGGGGATGTAGACTGCGAAAGGCTTCCTTTGGTTGCGTAGGTCCCGTGTCTGCACGCCGCAGCATGACGCAGGGAGTACTCGGCGATCAGGCACACAGGCGGGAATCTTGGTAAGTTGCACAAGAAGTCGGGTAAAAGGTAGCCCAAGAGAAGTGCCAACAAGATGACCTATCTTCCAGTAATGATGAAGCTTCGTTTGCGGTCGTGCTTGTCCAGTCTCCCGCACGTGTAGGACAGTTGTGATACCATGCCTGGCTTTCAGACAGATAGCTCCGCATTTGGACCTCAGATAGAGATAACCCAGACCCCTGATTAATAGACCCCCTCCCCTCAATAGGGATTATAATAGAGATCCTAAATACATAGGCCCTTAAAAGGAGGGGGTTTATTAATCAGGGGTCTACACTCGGAGTGGTGGATGGCCATCGAACCAGCCCTCGTTTGTAAGACTTGGATCAAGGCGCAGGCTCTAGGGCCCTCGATGGGGCTTAGGGGTTAGGGTGTACGGTGTAGGGGTTAGGGTGTAGGGTGGGCTTACTCACGGGGCTGAGTGGGGAATAAGTGGATATGTTTGCTATACAGGGGTTATGTAGGAATTATATTCCCAAATTCCCTACTAACAACCAGTAAGCTTAGAACAGTAGAGTTTGAATTGAGGCGTTGTTCTGGTGACGTCAACCTCTAAGTGCTGGGTGCATTGTGGCTCAAGCACTTGCGGGTCCTTTGAGAGCACCCACCTCCCCATCCCCAAGTGGAAGCCATGTACGGTGGCGGTGGCTACGGATGGGGTGGCAAAGGCCGGGGTTTCGCGATTTAGGATTGCTCTTGAGGGGTCTGGGACCTCAAGATTTGCCGTATAGGGTTGTTTTTGGAGGAACCGGGTAGCTGACATGACCACAGTAGTTGCCACGTCCCATTACGGTCCTAATCCGTTTACGCCATTTGATCTTCGGAAACTCCGTACACCTCAGAGCACAGAGCAGCAAGGTGGTGAAGTAGAACTATGTAATACGGCTTGATGAGCCTGGCGTGGGTGGCCATTGTGGTATCGGCGTCTTCCTACAGATATCAAACACACACTTTTTCAGGGTTTAGGGTTTAGGGGACATCATGGCATCCGTTCGCGTTTCCCAAACGAAGTGAAGCTCTGTGTTGACTGCGGCGATATTCCTCTGCAATTTTTGTGTTACTGTTAAGGAACTTAGATTAGATTAAGTTACTATAAAAGATGAAACCCCATTATTTATTATATAACCATATTATGGTAAATTAGTTCAAGGTCCTGAACTGCAACCCGACCTGTGGCTGAGCAGGCTCTTCAGGTGGATAAGGCGGAGTCCTAGGTAACTGATCCACCGAAAGGAGTTTTAGCCAGAATGTTCACTTACCGATTCTTCGTAGGGAGTAAGGGAATATGCAATGTTGGGATTTAAGTCCCTTGTTCCCTACTAAGAACCAGTAAGTTCAGCCAAATACCCGAAAGGGAACTCATAATGGGTGCCACAGCAGTAAGCAACAGCTGAGAGAGAGATCTCCGACTATCTGCATCAGAGTCTGCCCGCACAGAACTCAAGGCAGTGCACTGTTTCTTTTGATTTTCCAGCAGTATGGAAACACCATACATCAAAAGCGTGCCGGGTTTAAGCCATGCAGCCCAACAGCGCACCCCTGAGCATTTTCCGTGTCGGCCCATACACATGCCTCAACAATCTGTGAAGGGCTGGAACATAGCCGATTCTAGGAGGCCCTGTAGCTACTGGTGTTCAGTAAGGAGTAAGGGAATATATCCCTGTATAATATACTGCCCCATTTCCTACTAAAACCCAGTAAGTGAAGTTAATTCCTTGAAAGGAGTGTCGCGGTGGGAACTCTTTGCTAGGCTTTAAGAATGGCCTGAATCAGCGGAGCTAGATGGGGGGTCCCCAAAATTATGGGTACCTCCATAATCAGGAGCAACCTTTGCAATCCAGCAGCAACTGCAGTTCAACAGGCCCCTGGAGCTTCGGATCTTGAAGTATTCCTCAGGTAGACCCCCCGCCCTGTAACAGTGATTATAGGCGATAGTAGCAGCTGTGTTAATATACCACAATTATAGGATGGGGGGTCCTCCTAAAGTATACCCGCTTTCCAGAAGTCTAAACTTGAAATTGGAGTTACGAGGCAACCTATCCTAATTCAAAAAACTGGGTTGCTGTTAAGGAACTTAATTTAGGTTACTATATTGTATATATACCCATTATGGTAACTTAATCTAAGTTCCGCAACAGCAACCCAGAAAAGTTGCTTGGCGAGGCTGGGGAGGAAAGGGCTTCGGCGGCTGCGGCGGCTGGGATGGCGGTAAGGCGCCGCACACGGGCGAACCAGAAGGTACTGTCATAGGGTTTAGGGTTAGGGGTTTAGGGGTTTAGGAATTTAGGGGTTAGGGGCTTGAGGTTTAGGATTATGCGCCAGCTACCTGGCAGTTCAAATCAAAGTGGCGCCTTCTGGGTTAAGGCTCGGGGTGTCGAGTAGTGACCGTCACAGGGATAACGGTCTCGCTATGGCGAGAATTAAACGGATGTTTTTGTCAGGGAGACTCTTTAGAACCTAGCGGTATGTTTGGATTATGGTGAGATTCAAGGGGCCCTTTTCAGGCTTCCATAAAGACCACTACAATGTCTTACTCTGGCCTGCCAGTACAAACGCAGCTTGTGGATTCATGCAGTTGTCATATCGCATTACATGAGGTAAGGCGTTTGTCCTTGTGGGTTTGGGGGCAAGTTAGATCTGTCCCTCCGAATATTTTGTGAGTGCATATGTTGGCATGTCCATGATAGAGGATCCTATACAAAGATCCGATGGCATGGCCGATTGTACAGGCCCCTGCCAGAAGTCCTCATTCAGCTATATATGCCCTACAAACCCAACTTAGACCGTGCATCTCCACTGGGCGCTTGTTGGACAGGGCATGATGATGGGCGCCTATGGAGGCATGATGCCGCCCATGAGCCTTGCTTGAAGGCTAAACCGGCTGTTTCTTGGGGTTGTTGCGAGGGAAGTATTATGTATGATAGGTTGTCAGTATGGTAGGTTGTCAACCGTGTGTGCTGTGTTGAGTCCCTGCTTTTCTATGCCCTTTCTACTTAGGGCATTCAAACAGGGAGAATTTTTAACGCGACCCTCACATGGGGTTCATAGGGGCTATATAGGAAAATTGTGCAGATGAGGGGATCCTTACTAACAACCAGTAAGATTAAGCCACTGAGCAGCACTGTTCGTGGAGTTATTAGGCTGTAATCCAAAGCCACTACATGTGACCGGTTAGCAAAGAAGAAGGTATAGATTTTTTCCTGCATATTCCCAATCACATAGCAGTTCAAGGATCCCATATTCCTTCATGCCTTTAACCATGAACCCTGAACCCTGGAGGTTAAGCCCTGAAGCCCACTCACTGCAGCCTAGACCTTAGGGTTTAGGGTTTAGGGTTTCCTTGCCCTAAACCCTAACCTTAGGTACGGCGGCTTCGGCAAGGGAAAAGGCAAGAGCAGT